CGCTTAGGTTTCCGGGCAACCAAAACATGGGACTGGGCAGCACATTAGTGCTTCCACTTGCCCAGCTAATGGATTTATGATTCATCCAGTAGTTTTATCCATGAGATGGTGAGGTAGTATCGCTCCTTCTTACTGTACTGCTTCTCCACAGCATCTCTGAAGCAAAGACAGAAAACACATTAGCTGGAGAGACCAAAGATGGATTCCTATTAGCCTCGGAGCAACACACACTTCTCAGAAAATGATGCAAGTGCTCAGTAAAGTCTAAGAGGTTCTAAAGCTGACTGATTGCACCTCACTATTTAATGCTCGAGCATGGTAATGGGAGCTCCGGGGGCTTTTGTGGATGTGACTAGGACATTAGATCAGCGTTTTCACTGTGCTTCATGCAGCATGGAAAGGAGAACCTTTCTGAATAACACTGCCAAAGTATGATTCAATGCAATGGTTAAGGTTTGTGTTTTCCAAAGCTGACCATGGGGTATACTTACACTACACATATTAGTGGCTTTCTGGCAGATTTTAGGTTAGTTCTTTCTATTATTTGTGTGTAAGAACGTGGGCATCTGCAGGCCCATGAGACCTGGGAAACAGATGAAGAGCTTGACAATGAGAGTCAAACGCTGCCATTTACAGCCAAAGTAGCATCAGCACTTTTACCAGTCTGTCCACATATTGCAACACTTAAGAGAGGGAAAGAGAAACAGAGGAAGAGAAAGAGATGCCAGGGATACAGCAAGGGATAAAGAAGTAATGAAAAGGAGCAAAGAAGAGCTTATGGATGAATCACAACAGGTCAGAAAGGTCAAGGTGAACGTTGTAAAGCTACAGATTCACTTCCAGGTGATTTGAAAGCTCTGTGTCTGTGTATGTGATATCAAAAAAGGCCTAAATCTCTACAAGTCTCTATAAAAGCTAACACATCTGCCCCTCCAAGTTGCAGCACAGATTAGTTCTCAAAGAATGCCCTGTTAACCATAAAAACTTAACCATTTCCAGTGGTAACAGATTGAGGTTATGAAACTATGCAAACCAGAATGCAGGTGTTGATTAATTTCCTATAACAGCAGCTCTGACAATAATTTCAGCTGCCAGGCAGATCACATTTCATTAACATTTCTCTAGTAACAAACACTTTTATTTTAGATTCAATTCAACTTTATTGTCATTGCGCAGAGTACAAGGCCAATGAAATGCAGTTTTTCCACATATCCCAGCTTGCTAGGAAGCTGAGGTCAGCCATGATACAGTGCCCCTGGAGCAGATGTGGTTAAGAGCTTTGCTCAAGGGCCCAACAGAGGCATCTGCTTGATAGTGTTGTGGCTTGAACCCCCAACCTTCTGATCAGTAACCCAGAGCCTTAACCATTCATCCACTACTGCCACAGATATTGTAGATACTTTACATAATCTTAGTGTAGTGATAACATTTTTTTTTAATGTATTGCTATTTAAAAAGAGAACCATATAATGGTTGATATGGTGAAACTTTCTATAAGGAAGTATTTGTGTAGCATATTTGGAAGGAGTCTCCAGTGTCGGCACTTTATGACAGCCAGAGATGAAGCTGTAATTACGTTTTCTGACACAGGAAAGTCATTGCTAACTAATTACATATACGTTTTAAACAGAGAGAAAATGGTACTTCTGGTGTAATCCTCGGCAACAAGTTTAGGACAAAAAAAAGATAAAATTCAAAGCAAAACTATATATGCACATCAGCATTATACTCAAGATTGAGTGTCAGTTTGAAGAATTTGCCATATTATTTACTAGTACTCCAAAAAATCCAAAGACAAATTTGCCATGTTTGACAATCAAGCACAAGACTAGTGTCTATCCAGTATTCCTAGGATTCACCAAGACCCTGACCAGGAAAAAGTGGTTACTAAAAATAAATGAATGCTAGAAGATCTGGTATAAAATATGCTTGGAGATTTTGTTAAAGATTAGTTCATTTGTATTCCAAGCTCAAGTAATGTTTACTAAGTTGTCTAAGTTGGAAAATATAGATATAACAAATTCAAGTTTGTGAGCATATTATTAATTACTGCTCAGTCTGCTGTTGCTTGAACATCACTCTTAAATATAGCATTTGTTTTGGCCAGTAAACTGCATACTGATGCTGTAGATGCTGAATTTTCATTATTCAAATAGAATGTAAGTTTAAAAATGAAACTGGGCCTGTGTGTTAGCTGCAGGATCAAAAGTGAGCTAGCCGGTTGACTAGCCTGTTCCCAGCTACAGATGCCAGGAATAGTAAGTAAGTCAGTACATAAAAGGGAAATGGGGCTCTCTAGACACTATCACTAAGGCCTTGAATGTTTCCTTCAGTCCTGAACCCTGAACTCTCTTTTCTCTGAGGTCCAGTAAGAGCAAGGTGAAGTTTATATATATTTCATGCCAGAACCACTTGAGCTTTCCTCATACTTGATACAGAAGGATATGTTATGTTACTGTGGCACATTGGTCTATGGCTGGAAAGTGTTTTAAAGAATGTCAATAGATCATCTTGCTTGTCTGCAAAAACCCCAAAGATTTTTTTTTCTGGGTGAAAATGACACCTTGTTTTATTTCTTTACAAAAAGTGGAATGGTACTAAAACATTTTCCAGTACAAAACTTTATGTGCTTGATTTAATTTCTCTTATAAACATGACAATTTTAAGTGTTTTTTTTATTGTTTTATTTTGATGAATTAAAGACCACTGTCACTTTCTTAAGTTGGCTTTACACCATATGATTTTGGCACGATTTTGCTGCTGCTGACAAACATCACAAACATTGTTTTACAAGTTGTAATAGAATTCTTTGTATGTGAGTTGAGCTCAGCAGTCTTAGAATGCATAATGTGACACATTCACCAGTGCCACTAAGCCCAAAGATGGCCAACAAGTTCTGACAGTGCCAAAAAAATTTTTTGATTAAAATCTCAGACCGCGTTTGACCGCTGCTACAAAACTCATGAAACTCATGGGACAGCCGCAAATGTTCATGTTTGAGCAAGCTATAATTTAAAATACTGACTTGCTAACAATAATTATGTTAACATTACCAGGCTGCATTCCCAGCTAATCACACAGTTGTAAGCTACCATGCACGCTAATGGACAGAAAAAAATATTCTTATTACCTTAAGCTAACTTTGAAGAATATGCATTACATGTTGTCCTCTTTTACCCAGCCATGTACAACTCCAAAATCCTCTTCTTCACCTTTAAAAACATTAAAAATGTTCTCCTGGCATAACATTTATCCTCACGTAACTACTGAGGGCTTGCTCCTCTGTACACAAGCCTGAGCAGAATTTCAGTGATTGATGACACAAGCAGATTGTAATGATTTTCTTTAATCATAGGTCTGTTGTTAGAGGATCTTCATCATATAATCTGACATAAATAACACAGCCAAGATTTTATTGGGATTATCTCATACAGTGTGACAAGTAATAATCTTAAAAGACTGCTGAAATCACTGACACTAAAACCACCTTTAGCTACTCACACATGTGCATAAGATCACCAAGCATTTTATTTTATTTTATTTTATTTGATATACATCATACTTTTATTGCTATTAAATCAGCAGAGATTGGCTGGCTAAATTGAACATTCATTGCTATGCAGTGAACAGAATAAAACACCTTCAATGTCTCTTCACCCAAAAATCATACCAGAGGCAAAGTCATGCGGAAACATGATGGAGCAAATGAGTACACTTGGAGAACCAGGTCATTACTCCTGAACTCTGAGAGGTGGAGGTTTAAACAGGGTGAGGAGAACTCTTCTCTCCTTCTGCTCCTCAACTACACTAAGCTCAGTCCAGGGAGTAAAAAGATACATACACTAATATCCCACATACAGACCTGTTTTTAAATGTGTGGGAGAGTAGTTACAGGGCAATAAGAGCGATTAAAGAATGTGAAGGGCTTGGAGTGGTTCTATTACATACCTTAATCATTCTGAATTGTGTTTGTGCCAGAGTGCTGAGAATACTGAGCACGGACATGTGGGTAGCTTGAAATAATACAGACCACTGACCAAATGAAACTATTATATAATCATGAATCGCTACCTCAGTCAGCCAACTGCCATTTTGAAAAAAAAAAAAGATAAATACAAAAAAACAACCAACAACTAATGAAGAACCTTTAAGTGGCAACATGGCAAAGCAATCTTCTGTAACAGAGTCTGAGAAAATTCCCATCAAGTACAGCAGAAAATCCAGAAAGTTCTGTTGGGTCAGACACAAATGCAGACAAATTGCACCTGAAAGCAGGTGCAAGCAGTTTAGTACATCTAGCCCGCTGTGTCTTGTACAAGATTGTCTTGGTATTCTGTAGGTGGAAAGTTTTCTTTTTCATATAACTTGACCTTTTCCAGTTGCTATGGGGATTTTTGTGCCATGATCTGAACAGTAGGACTGAAATAGGCAAGTATCTGAGTAAATAAAATCAACTACAGTCTACGTATATGTTATATGGAGAGAACTTTTCACTGATTTCTGATTACTAACTTCATGTTTATCTTAGGCTCCCTTACTACTTACATTTGCGTTTCTGCTGATGAAGCTTTCAGTGTTGATTGAACTGACTCTAAAATGTGTTTAACAAAGAGACTGAGCTAGAAAATTACACCCTACATTATATGTGGAGAAACTGGATTATAGAACAAAATATAATGCATTGCGAAAAGTGTGGGCTTTGCAAAGGTCAGGAGTGGCATCAATACTGAAAGCAAAAAAATGAATTTTGTACATTTGGTAAAGTGTACTATTTGCACTTTCCTGCAGGTAGGATATTGCATCCCACTCTATATGTATGTTGTTCTTCTTTCAGCTGCTCCCGTTAGGGGTCGCCACAGTGGATCAATGGTCCGCATACTTGATTTGGCACAGTTTTTACGCCAGATGCTCTTCCTAATGCAACACTCCCCTATTTTATCTGGGCTTGGGACCTGCAGTGGGAGTGCACCGTCATGTGCCACCCCAGTGGCTGGGGTTGGTTCCCTGGCCGGGCATCGAACCCAGGCCATGGCAGTAATAGCGCTGTGGCCTAACCACTAGTCCTCCAGGAACCCTACGCATCCCACTCTATATGTATATTACACAGAATTATGGGTATTGTACTGAATACATGGAAACAATAAATGGCTCAACAATGCACAGAGAACTGGCAAGACTTCACAAGCACTGGAATAAATAGGCACTCTTAATGAATCCAGAACAGGAGTTAAGCAGACTTTGATGGAGCTTTAGGGCTCGCTGTATTTTCCAACAGGTGTTTTCAGGTGGATGTGCATGTGCATATGTTATGTGCAAGCTCTGTCAGCTCTGTCTCTCTCTCACACATAGCATATGCAAACTCACCGTGATCACACACAGATGAGAATCATCACACTTTACCTGCTGGGTCAACCCACCTCCTCTCTGTCCACAGCTGATGCTAGACCATGCCCCACTACCACAATTACATACACTGCAGTTAGAGGCAGCATGCGCCACCGCACATAATACACTAGACTAAATCAGGTAAAGCAGTTATTATTCACCCACAATTCTTTAGTAAACACAGTTTAAGCAAAATGGCCCAAGATTGGATATCTCTAATTCCTCAGTTAAAAAACACTGCAATAAAATTCTTTCAGACTATTTTTGAAACTGTTGTACACAATTTACATGCCTTAGCTAATTGGTTTTAATCGATTTTTCCTACAATCTACTTAGTCCTGTAAATTGATTTAATGGAACTTTTTAAATTTTAATGTAGCAACACAAGAGTGAGTCTTGTTCCACCGTCATTCAGAGCATAGATACAAAATTATTTAAAACTCATTAAAGGTCAAAGCAGAATTAGCAAGGCTAATCTTAGATCAAAATTAAGGGAAAAAATAAGTCAATAAAAATGACTCACTAAGGCAACACAGGTGCTTAGCCTTGGACAACACACACATGCACACAAACACACACACAGATCCACGTACACAGACAAGAGCGAATGGTTGCATTAATTAATCCATAATGAAATAGCAGGTGGCTCCATATGTGTAACTTGTTGGTCTTCTACATCACACAAAAAGTAAATCTGATGTTTAACATGCTGTCATTTCATGCACAGACTTATGGATCTTTTAAAGGAGTAGCTCAAGAAGACATGCCAAGTAATGCAAGCTAGCAGCCACCAGTTGGCCAGATATCATTTGAATAATCCTAATTGACAAGTACTCACTTTCATTTATTGTGAGCAACATTAGCATTATTGACCGAGCATCAAGAAAAAAAGCTAATGGGTAAATTCACATGATACAGAGTCAATATTGAGTCTGCCTTCTTATAAAGATATATGTGGATTTTAATAAACCACAAAGCAATTACTAAAGCAAACCTGTGGCAGACTTATGGCTGCAGCAGATTCAACACTCTTTCAAAGAATAATCAAACAGGGTAATGCACACACAAAGAAATACACACTAGCACATACTCTAGCACCTTGGTGTACCGCTGCACACAAAAAACACAAATTCCTGAACACAGATACAGAGAAGAAAAAAAAACAGACTGCCATAAAGCAGCACTGGTGTCTAATAGAGGTATTGATTGGCTGCTGGCATTTTTCACCTTGCCACACTATGCGAGCACAATGAACATGAAACCTTTTTTTTCTTTCTCTGTCTGACTCAGTTTGCCATAGTGTCAAAATTGAATGCCTTTGTTGTGTGGTTGTATTGGATGATAATGTGTAAATTTAGCCTCCCTGTGCATCTGGGTGTATATGGATGTGTTAATGAAATTGGCCAAGACCCAACCCTGCCATGGACTGGCTTCCAATCCAAAGGTATATTCCCAACTCTAGTTTCCTTCCATTTCCTAAAAACAGGTAGAATAGATGTGTAAAATAAAAAAAAGTATTTGGCGTGTAGAGCACTCACTTATGTGTCTTTCAGTCTGAGCAAAAATTTCAACATACAGCAAGTACAGTCCAACATCATTTGGTTAGTAGTATGATGTGAAAAGATGTAAAGAGGTGAGTAAAGAGGTGAGTCTTTAGGCTTCATTTGAAGACAGCCAGTGACTAAGTTATTTGTACAGCAAGGGGAAGTTCATTCCACCACCTAAGTGCCAGAACAGAGAAGAGTTTTGATGTATGTCTTCCTTGTATCTTGAGGGATGGTGGGTCAAGTCGAGCCATACATCCTTGAAGGGAACATGGTACTGAGCATGGTACTGAACACACACACAGAGTGGCAGTGCCTTCAGGAAGGTGAGGGCCAGTCTGTTTTTTTTTTCTTTGGTCTGCTTTGTAAGCAAGCATTAGTAACACAGGGTTGTGGAAAAATGTGGAGAGGTTGAAAATAAGCCCTGCAAATGCATTCAGGATCAGTTGCATGTCGGATGGCTCACAGATCCAGAGATGACAAGGAACTGAACACATACATGTGTGGCCTTCATAGCGAGCAAAGGCCGGATCCTCCTGGTGTTTTAAAGGCAAACCTGTATGATGGAGTCATATGAGGAGAAAAGGATAGTCCAGGATCTCTGGGGATATATAGCAGCTGAGATTTAATTTCAGGTGATGAGCTGCCTTCCATTATGAGATGTCTGCCCGACATGCTGAGATCCATGCAGAAATATGAGTGTGTGAGGGGGAAAGAGGAAGATCAGTCGAGTGTCATCAGCATAGCAGTGATATGAAAAACCATGTGAGGATCAATAGACACAAATAGATACTAGGCCTAATTACAACAGAGTGTACAGTTGGGGTGATAAGTTTACATACATCTTGCAGAATCTCCAAAATGTTAAAAATTTAAAAAACAAATAAGAGGTATCATAAAAATTGCCCACTCTTCATAAGAAAAATCCTCCAGGTCCTGCACATTATTTGGCTTTCCAGCATCTTCTGAATATTTGACCCCTATATGATTTTGATAGGACAACTGAGGGACTCGTACACAACCATTACAAAAAATACAAACATAATGTAGTGTGTTGCCTTCTTGAGCATCAGTGAATGATTGCACCTTTTGTAATAGTTGTGTATGAGTCCCTCAATTGTCCTCAGCGTGAAAAGATGGATCTTAACATCATATAGCCACTGTTGGAAAGAGGTCAAATATGCAGAAGATGCTGGAAAAGCAAAGAATGTGCAGGACCTGGAGGATTTTTCTGAAGAACAGTGGGCAGTTTAACAAGGGACTCATACCCAACTATCACAAAATATAAAAACAGTCACTGACCATCCAGGTAACAGCACACAGTATTAAGAATCAAGTGTACTTAGTGTCTAAAAGTAGACACACACACCAACAGAGCAGCTTTGCAGTTGTACAGAGAGAACATAAGCCTCCCTTTTTATGTAGAACAAAACAGATTACCAAGTAAAAGTAAGAGCCTTACTCATTGATCATTAGTATTTCAGTCCAAATGTCTGTTCATTACTACGAGATGTGAAACGGAGCGCAAAAGAGAGAGCAAAAAAATTCAGCTCACACACCCTCTAATGTAAGACCAACTGAGTGCACTGAGAAGCACAAACTGAAATAGAGATTCATTGTGAAGAAGTTGTGAGCACTACATGCTTCTCCGCAATACTTTCAGGCAAGCAGGAGGACATCAAGGTGGTGGCTAAGGTGGTCGAGGAGCTCACGGCTGGTGCCCAGGAAGAGCCAGAATTTGGAAACTAAGAAAAATGCTCACTATTCAGCAGTTTTATTATGAGTAAGTGTGTTTTGCCATTGGCATGCATGGGGCCCAGGTAGTGCCCAGAAAAGTTTGCATCACTCTTGAAGAGTGGGAGTTGCATTTGGTTGTTGTTGCAAATAGTGATGGCAGGGAAATCAAACTGGCACACCCAAAGCCAACCAGTGTAGCACAACAGTTTGAGGACCATTACAGCAATATGGCCAGTATAGTGCACAGTGCTTAATGCACTGGGGAAGAAACTGAGGGACAAGACTGGTGCAGGCCATACAAAAAGGTATGAAGTGCCAGGGGCAAGCAGCAGCAATTGGGTAACTGGTGGATCGCTGCCCGACAAAGACCGACAACAGTGCAGGAATTCTAGAGCAATGGATTTCCACAAGTGCTGCCAAAGCAGAACACGGCATGGTATTATTTCCTAGCCAGGATGCCATACATGAGGAAATCATGTGGTAACTGCCACAGCATGAAATGAGAAAATGTTCACAAAACCCAAAAGAAATGCCCTGTCCTTATCTGGGGGATGAATTTGCCAGTGCTTAGTACAACATGATGTTAGTTATGCTTATCATATCCTCCCTTCCTATTTTTATTATTCCATGAAATGAAAAGTTAACACATCAGTCACCCTATCTTAGGGATACACATAGAAACTCACATAGACAGGCGATTCAGGCTCCCTGGCTACTACAACCTCTTGGCATGACCTCTTAGCTAAACCGCTCTCAGTCCGTTTTTGAGGAAAACACCAGCAGGAAAATCCAATCACAAAACCCCAGCTACAAAATGCACTGTTCTTATCCTGGAGCCTTGCAGAACAGGCCAGTGACTGAAAAACCACAGTGGATAAGCCATTGGTGTTTACTTTAAATTCGACATGCCATTAATCCTTATCATAACATATTAATGCTATTACAAAAGAAATAATAATAGGTCATAGTTTATTATGACTGTTAATAATATTACATTAACATAACAAAGGGCATGAGGGAGAATGGGCAAAATTTGAATAAAGAGGGCATTAGAACCATGGAGACAAGTGGGATAAAAAAGAGTTAGGGATGGAGAGAGGACCAGTCCAGATTGTTCCTGTGAGGAAGATTGGCTGATTGTGATCATTCTTTCCATCCGTTTCCTCTGTCAGGTTTCTGCGCCTACGTGTCCCCCACAGCTCGGCCCACAGTGCCACTTCTACTGTTCACTGATCCTCATTTAGAGTCCCTCTGTCTGGCTTCCTCCTGCCGCTTGTGTGTTTGTTTTCTAACTTCCATCTGTGCCATCTGTCTCTCTTTCCCTCTCTCCTTCAGCAATCTTTCATTCCCTTTCTCTCTCTGGCCTGGTCTGAGAAGAGAAGCTGCACTTCATGCTAGCTCACACA